ACCCAAATACACAGGAGATGATAAAGGTGTCATCTCAAATCTGGACTTGAGATGACAAAAGATAGACAAAGATAAAACAAAGATGGACTTTTTAATAAATGCTGCTTGGACAATGGTATAGACATCTAGGAAAAGATAAAGTTTGCTTCATGTGTCACACTAGGAACAACTCCAAGTGGATGGGAGATTTAAGTGTGAAAAGTGAAACCATGTAAGTTTGAGTGGCTGAATTCCTCTGTAATCTGAGAATAGGTAAAAGCTTTCTGACTATGGCTCAAAATCTAGATGTGATAGAGAAAGGATAAATAAGTTTGATTACCTAAAAGTAGATAACTTTGGTATGGTAAAAAAAAACAATAAAGTTTTAAAAAAAATGATAAATAGGAAGATAATAGTAAGACATTTAGAAAAAGAACTAATATATTTAATGCATAAAGAACTTTTAAACCTATAGAGAAATATTTTACATTCACTAGGATGATGATAATAAAATAAGACAGATAATAACAAGTGTTGGTGACTGTAGCAAAACCAAAATCCTACATTTCAGTGTGAATGTAAAATGGCATAGAGCTTTGGAAAATAGTCTGACCGTTCTTCAAAATGTTCAACATAGAGTTACCATGAAAGCAAAAGTGTTAGTCGTTAAGTCATGTCCAACTCTTGCAAACCCAGGGACTATAGCCTGCCAGGCTCCTCTGTCATGGGATTTCCCAGGCAAGAATACTGGAGTGGGTTGCCATTCCCTTCTCCAGGGGATCTTCCTGACCCAGGAATTGAGCCTGGGTTTCCTGCATTGCAGGCAGATTCTTTACTGTCTGAGTCACCAGGAAAGCCCATCTGACCTGGCAGTTCTGCTCCTAGTTATGCATCCAAGAGACTTGAAAGCGTATGTTCACCTCAAAATTTGCACACTAATGTTCATTGCAGCATTATTCAAAGTAGCTAAAAGAAAAAAAGTGGAAACAACCCAAATATTCATCATCTGACACATGAATAAACAAAATGTGATCTATTCAAACAAGGACTTCCCTGGCGGCTCAGACAGTAAAGAATCCGCCTGCAATGAGGGAGACCTGGGTTTGATCCCTGGGTTGGGAAGATCTCCTGGAGGAGGGCATGGCAACCCACTCCAATATTCTTGCTTGAAGAATCCTCATGGACAGAGGAGCCTGGTGGGCTACAGTCCACAGAGTCTGAAAGAGTTGGACACAACTGAGCGACTAAGCACAGCACACAGCACATTCAAACAGTGCAATATTATTTGACAATAAAAAGGAACGAACTTCCAAGACATGCTGCTGCTGCTGCTGCTTCTAAGTCGCTTCAGTCATGTCTGACTCTGTGCGACCCCATAGACGGCAGCCCACCAGGCTCCCCCGTCCCTGGGACTCTCAAGGCAAGAACACCGGAGTGGGTTGCCATCTCCTTCTCCCATGCGTGAAAATGAAAAGTGAAAGTGAGTTGCTCAGTCGTGTCCGACTCTTCATGACCACATGGACCGCAGCCGAACAGGCTCCCCCGTCCATGGGATTTTCCAGGCAAGAGTCCTGGAGTGGGGTGCCATTGCCTTCTCTGAGACATGCCAGCCCGTTGGTATTTGGTGGTGGTGGTGAAATGCTCTTTGCTGTTGCCTCTGCTGGCCATTTGGTTGTTCAGTCACTAAGTCATGTCCGACTCTCTGTGACCCCACGGACTGTAGCACGCTAGGCTTCCCTGTCCTTCGCTATCTCCCCGCGTTTGCTCTGACTCATGACTGTTGAGTCGGTGATGCCATACCAGTCATCTATATTGTGGCTTGTGCCTCTGCCTCTGAGATACACAAAGAAGCTTCAGGAAGAGAAATTCTTTGTGCCAGTAGCTCAGGGCAAAGGCCGAGAATCTGCTGGATGAATAGAGATCACTGGCTTCATCAGACCAGGATTCCTAGAACTCAGAGAGGAGCCTGAGTCCCCAGCTCTTCTGCATCAAGATTTGGCATTTGCTCTCCTTCAGCAGATCTGGCTCAGCAGCTACAATCCCGCCTCNCTGACTATCCATCTTATACAAAGACGAGGCCAGACTACTTTTCTTCTTCTTTTCTACCTTTTCTTCTTCTGGATTCATTTTTCCCTGTTTCTTTCTGTCTGTCTCTTTCTGTCTTTAATACATACGCTCAGATATATACACCCACTCCAGTGTTAGATCAGAATAGAAAATAAGTTTCTTATTTAGTATAAGGTAAGTAGTAAATGGGCTTCCCTGGTGGCTCAGTAGTAAAGAATCTACCTGCAATGCAGGAGATGCAGGAGACACAGGTTCAGTCCCCGGGTCAGGAAGATCCCCTGGAGGAGGGCATGACAACCCTCTCCAATATTCTTGCCTGGAGAATCCCATGGACAGAAGAACCTGGCAAGGTACAGTCCATAGGGTCCAAAAGAGTCAGACACAATTGAAGCAAATTAGCACTCACAGACTGGTCCAGATTCCGCACACTTACCTTCTATCCTACACCATCTCACTAGTGGTCAGTAGGGAGGGAATGATTAACCAGTCAGAGGAAGCACACTCCATGTAGAGAGAGCTGCCTGATTTGGGGCAAAAGGGACCAGGTAAGCAAGGCAGGGATGGAAACCTGAAGCCTGNTAGTACAATTAGGAATATATTTTAAAGTAAGATTTGCTAGTAGACAAGATGAGCAGGGTATAGGAATATGGAAGGTAAGGATGAGATAAAAATTTTTGTCCAGTGCAAATGCAAGAGTGGGTGTGCAATGATCTGAGATGGGAAGACTTTAAGAGAAACCGATCACGTGGAAAATGATGAAAACTCCCTTCTGGACAGACTTTGCTGAGATGTTTAGTAGGCATCCAAGTAGAGAGGTTGAAAAGCTAGTGGGGCAGAGGGATCTAGATTTCAGTGGAGACATTTGAACTGAAAATATATTCTGGATGCCTCTGGCTTAGAGATGGCATTTAAAGCCACAAATGAGATCACAGCTCGGGAGTGTATGTGGAAGGAAACTGGAGAAATCCTTGGGCACATCCAGTTTCAGAGTTTGAGAGGTAGACAGGGACCATTTAATGGGAGGGATCAAGGCAAAAGAAATACTAAGGGAATGTGAAATCCTGCTTTAAGAAAGAAAGAGTGATCAACTGTGTTAAATCCTACTGATGAGTCACATAAGACCAACACTGGGTATTTGGCCTTAGAGTTAGCAATGTAGAGGTCTTTGGAGATCTTGAAAAGAGCTGTTTATAATGACAGGTGTAGGACTTCCCTGGTCGTCCAGTGTCTAAGACTCTATGCTTCCAATGCAGGGGGTTTGGATTCGATGCCTGGTCTAGGAACTAAGATCCCACATTCTGTGTGGTGTGGCCAAAAATAAGTAAAAAAATAGAATTAATTAAAAAATAATAAGTGTATGTTTTCATTTAATCAGCATCTTCTCTTCCCTTAGTAGCCAAGTATCATCAAAACGAACTTCCCTGATAGCTCAGCTGGTAAAGAAAGAATCCACATGCAATGCAGGAGACCCTGGGTTGATTCCTGGATCAAGAAGATCCCCCGGGGAAGGGACAGGCTCCCCACTCCCGTATTCTTGGCCTTACCTGGTGGCTTAGATGCTAAGGAATCCTCCTGCAGTGTGGGAGACCTGGGTTTGATCTCTGGCTTGGGAAGATCCCCTGAAGAGAATGGCAACCCACTCCAGTATTCTTGCCTGAAAAATCTCCATGGAGAGAGGGGCCTGGTGGGTTACAGTCCATGGGGTCAGAAAGATTTGGACACTACTGAGTGTCTAAGCACACACACATCATCATCATCAAAACACTGTATCTTCTTTGGTCACTAGAATATCCATCATTTAGCTTAATAAGCACTTGTAAATGTTTGTTGAATGAGTGATTTCATTAAAGATGGACAAATTTTAATCTTTATTTGAGACCTACTTCTGAGCTCTTATGTCATTCATAAAACATTCAAAACATTCAGGGAAAATTCTTTCCCGGATTTACCATAAATTTACTCTAGATTTATATGAATATGGACCAAGCTCTGAGCTTGGCCTTAGAATTGCAAAAAAAAAAAAAAAAATCAGATGCAGTCAGTCTCCCAAAGAAGTCAGTCATAGCTGGGGAGGCAGACAAATGAATGGACAATTAAAATGCCCTTGGGTTCATATAGTGATAACAGGGAAGAGACTCTGTGAGGAGGTAGAAGGTGTGCCAGGTGGGCTGGGGGGTGAGGGCAGTGGGAGTGTGGGGAGGTGATGAAGTCTCAGAGCCACATCTTTGAGCCTAGTTAGTGGACATCACCCAGCTGAGGGCTTCAAGGAAAGGCAGACCTCAGAGCAGCCCATGCTGCGTGCGTGGGTGTGGGGAGCCGCACCTGTAGATAAACACATATTCCTTTCTTTGATTTGAGCACATCCTCCCACTCTCATCTCTCTCATTCCCTCCAGCTCTAGCCTAGGTTTTTAATTCCTGGTTTGTTTTGCTGTTTTTCTTCCCTTTTCTCTGTTCTGCCTCCTCGTTTATGGCTGACCTCCCTTCCCAGCACAGTGCTTTCTTCGATTTCCTCTACAGAAACTCATTTATTTGATTTAAACTTGAGTTGAATCTAATTAACGTCTTCCATATGCAGCCCTGATGAGCACTGCCCAGACTTTCATGCCTTCTTCTCTTTTCACGGGGGCCCCAGACCTGAGCTGTTCCCCTTTCCTCCTCTGCAACTCCATCCTAGCTTTATTCTCCAGCTCAGTCCAACCACCTGAAGTGTCCTAAGTGTGCCATCTGGTTCAAATCTTCTCAACGCATCCTATGCCCAACTTGAGCTTCCTTCCCAACACACCCTCCCCTCCTCTGGGGAGTTAAACTCACTCCTACTTTGCAAGATAATTAATATACATCACCTCAACTACCGTGTATTGTGAAGATAGACAAAGTTAAGTTAAAGTAACACACATCATCAAAATCTGTGTAAGTTAATGTAACAAAAGTTTATTTCTTGGGTCTGCGTAGGTCTGGGAGATGATCTTGGGATGATGTGTTTTTTGTGGCGGTTCAGTATCCCTCAGAATCTTTCCATCTTGCATCCATTCCACATCAGCAAGGGCTTCCACAACCACTGGGAAAGGTAAAGACTGGATGGAGAATTGTGAACTGGCTCTTAAATGCTCCTGCCTGGAAGTGACACCTGTCATTTCTGATCACATTTCAATGGCATGTGTCCTTGCATATGTTCAAAGAGAAAAGGGCCCTGAAGGAAAAGAGAACCAGAAATCTTAGTGATTGTTAGTCATTTTTATCTTTGGGGATATATTGGTAAATGGTATTTGTGGGGACCCTAGAGGAAATTTTGCTGTTGTCACTGTCATCAGCAACTTATTTACTGGGAACATTACATAATTTACCTCTGCCTTGTTTCCCCAGCTATAAGACAAGGGTCATGATGACAGTAAAAGTGCTTAGAACTTAGTACAAGTTGAGTTATCAGAAAAAAAATCATTATTGATTTGTACTATGAAGCCTTCCTTGAGCTGTCTGCCTCATCCCATCTTGCAGAATGAAGTATTTTCCGTTTAATGTTTTCATTCTTCTTTGTGTACAGCCAAAGATGGTTGCCTTTGTCTCATAATGTATTATTCTTAGATGAGAGTGTGTGTTGCTTAAAACTAGGGTTTTTTCTGTTCAACATTGTATTCTGGAATCTAGCACAGTGCCTGTCATAGAGGAAGTGCTCAATATACTTCACATGAATGAATGAGTAAGTGAATAAGGAAAATGAATGAATGAATGAACGAATCTGTGGTTTCAAAGCTCTGAGCTGGGGATTAACAATGTTTGGCCTTACAAATACCTCCTACTCTTTTTTTGTTTTTTTCCTAGAGTTCTACTCTCTGATGATATTATCACTCCTAAACTGCTTGTATGTAATCTATGGACAGAATGGAAGCATTCTTGACCTGGATATTGTCATCTTTACAGGTATGTTTTCTCCCCTAAAGAACTCATCTTTTCCCCTTGGTGTGGTCCACAGACTAGCAGCTCTGGTATCACCTGGGACGCCTGTTAGGTATAGAATTTCAGACCCCACCCCAGAATTGCTCAATCAGAATTTGCATTTTAACAAGATTCTGGCTGATTTGTATGCACATTAACATTTGAGAAACGCCATTCTACAGTACTTACTCAAGGTATCAGAATGAGCTTCTCTGCCCCCTACATGGGTTAGGGACTGAGAGAATGCAGTTATCCTAAAGTTGTGTGGGGTTGATATTGTTAACTCTATTACTGAGGAAAAGAACTTGCTTCTAATTGATCAAATATTAGCAGACTATGTTTAGTATGGGGGGAATGATGGATTTAGAAATGCCTTGTTCAGGAAGTTGAGGGGTTTGCAGTTGATTAGTATTTAATGCCAATTGGTTTATCATTTCTTTATCACTGGACATACAAAGCCTACCTGAGAGATTTCCAGATTTGGGAAAGTTATGGAAGTAACAGATGGCTTTTGCCAGATGGTTTCATGATATGTTAAGTTGAGCTGTTTCTTCGTAAATTAGTTGACCTTAACATTGTAGAAATCTTTATATAGGTTCTGTGCAATTTGAGAAAGAGATCAGGCAGCTGGGCTTCCTATATATTCATAAACTGGGAAGTCATTGTTATACTATGTAAAGACCTTGAAAACAGTTTTTAAAAGTACTCACCAAGTGTATTCCCTGCTGTAAGCATCTTTCATGTGAGTGCCTGGGAGTGATGTGTAATATCTGCCATGGTTCAAGGCAGACCATGGGCATGCCACAGTTGGTTCACATGTAAGTGAAGGACAGTAAGGAAGCCGATAGAGTCTAGTCAAAGAGTGATTGGTGCTGCTTAAAATTTGTTATTTCCAGAACCATCCAATGACAAATTTTACAAGAAAGTCCTATTTTCTTATCTGTTTTGAAGCTCCATGTAGAAGGAAATCTCCCATCATCCCTCACAATGAGTAACATCATTCAGCATAGTCAACATTAGCGCAGGGTTATATGGGGAAATTTCTATATGAAAAATAGCCAGAAAATTTCCCATAGCTTCAGGATGCATTTGGTTAAAGAAGCTAATGTAGGATTCTGATATGATTGTGTATAAGTGTGGTCCATGGCTTTTTAATAGCAGACTCTGCCCAAGAATCATCAGGCTAGTTTTGAGTCTGAAAATTGTTCCCTTGTTCTTAGTAGCTGTGTATTTCTGCCTGCTGAGATTGCTATGCTCATTTTGTTTCTCTCACAGATAAAAAAGTCATTAAAGATTTATGGGACAATATATTCATAAGTAAGTGGTAAACATCCAATATTATCTATCAAATAAAGAAGCACATGCCAATTTTTATCACTTTTTTGCCTCCTTAGCGTGCTGGGCTGTGCTTGCTCACTCAGCTGTGTCTCACTGTTTGCAACCCCATGGACTGTAGCCCGCCAGGCTCCTCAGTTCATGAGGATTCTCCAGGCAAGTATACTGGAGTGGGTAGCCTATCCCTTCTCCAGGGGATCTTCCCGACCCAGGGATTAAACCGGGGTCTTCTGCATTGCAGGTGATTCTTTACCAGATGAGCCACCAGGGAAGCCCTTATTCCCACTAGCATAGCTATAATTAAAAAGATAACAAATGCTGCCAAGGATGTGGGGGGTCAGAAAACCTATATTTCTGTGAAAATATAAAATTATATGGCTAATTTGAAAACAGTTTGGCAGCTTTGACAAAGTTAAACATACATTTAGCATACATTTCAGCAATTTCATGCATGGACATCTATCCTGGGTAAGTGAAGACATATATCTATGCTAAAAAAAATTGCATACAAGGGCTCATAGCATCATTATGCCTAATAGCCAAAAAGTGGAAATAGTGCAAATGTAAGAAAATGTGGTATGTTCATATAATGGAATAATGTTTAGCAGTGAAAAGAAATGAAGTACTGATATGTGATACAACATGGATGAACCTCAAGAGCATTATGCTAAGTGAGAGAAGTCATACTCCTAAATGTGTGTTTACATGAAAAAAATCCATCACAAATGTATAATAAAGATGCAAAGTGTATAACTAGCTGCTTGGGACATGAGATATGGGGTGAAGACAGGGATTAAGAACTAATGGGCATGAGGGATTTTACTCGTGTGATGAAAATATTTTAAAATTAGATTGTAATAATAGTTGCACAACTCAGTGAATTTACTAAAAAATTGTTGTACACTTAAAATGGGTGAATTACATAAGTATGTAAATCATGTGAATGATTAAAACAAGTAAAATCTAGGCCTTGTATGTCATCTTGATATCCACTTGCATGTATTATTGTTGGAACTTCCTTGTAGTCTTAATATTCCTACAGGTCCCAAATGATCCCCAGCCTCCATCAGAACGTCTCTCTCCTCATCAGCATTTGCAGGATGCAGCTATAAACCCAGGCAGATTATGCCCTTTGCAGCTAGAAGATGTATAGAAACTTTCTAAAAAATAGTCAGTTATCATGTTCCAACTGCCGACGGGCCTGAAATTCACTCTTCTCCTTATTTCATCCTATTCATATTTCAGATCTCAACTCAAACCATACATCCTCAAGGAGTTCTACCTTCTTCATTATGCACCCTTGCCTGCCTTCACATTCATAAACTAATCCTTTTGTTGCAGTGACCATCTGTTGTTTAGATTTTTACTTTGTTCCAGCCAGGGATGCCATTTGTTACATTACTTTTAGCACAGTAATTCTCTGATACAGTGTCATTAAAATTTATTAAATACTAATTACCTGGGACTTTGTTGCAAATGTAGATTTCTATGTCTTACCTATAGGACTTCTAGTGGGTGACTTACAAATGAGTCATTTTGATGAGCTCAAATTATGCTTCTATGTATGTACTATGTAGTCCATGTACTGTTTTTGAAACAGAGAGATACATCGCTGAGGATGGAATCCATTAGGATATTTTTTTCAGTGTAAGTTTATTGAGGTATATTTTACACATTATATCATTCACCTATTTAAAAACACAATCTTATGATTTTTTAAAGTGAAATATAGTTGATATGCAACATTGTGTTAGCTTTAAATGTACAGCAAAGGGATTCAGATTTATGTTTCTGTATATGTGTAGATGTATATACATGTGTATATATATGTGTATATACATGTATATATGTGTGTATGTGCATGCTAAGTTGCTTCAGTTGTGTCAGACTCTTTGAGACCCCATGGACTGTAGCCCGCCAGGCTTCTCTGTCCATGAGATTCTCCAGGTAAGAATACTGGAGTGGGTTGTCACGCCCTCCTCCAGGGGATCTTCCTGACCCAGAGATCAAGCCCAAGTCTCTTATGTCTACCTGCATTGGCAGGTGAGTTTTTACCACTAGCACCACCTGGGAAGTCCGTGAAAGAGAAAAGTGAAAGTGTTGTTCACTCAGTAGTGTCTGACTCTTTGTGACCTCATGGACTGTAACCCACTAGGCTCCTCTGTCCATGGAATTCTCCAGGCAAGAATATCAGAGTAGAGTAGCCATTCTCTTTTCCAGTGGATCTTCCTGACCCAGGGACTGAACCTGGGTCTCTTTCATTGCAGGCAGATTCTTTACTATCTGAGCCAGGAAAGAATATACATATATTCATATAAACTTATGTGTGTATATATATATATGTGTGTGTGTGTGTGTGTGTGTATGTGTATGTATATTCTTTTTCAGATTCTTTTCCAACATTTTGAGCAGAGTTCCCTGTGCTATATAGTAGGTTCTTAATGTATATCTATTTTATATGTTGTAGTATGAATCTGTTAGTCTCTAACTCCTTGATTTTTTAAATTAAACTTACCAAGTTGTACAGCCATCACCATGAATCATTTTAGAACAGTTCTATCACCCTGATCATCTTTCTTATGTCCCTTACTTCTCCTTTCTCCATCTGCATCTCACTGCCCTGCTCTAGGCAACCAATACTCTACTTTCTTTTTCTATAGATTTGCCTTTTCTGAATATTACAAAAAACTGGAATTCTACAATACATGGTTTCTTCTACCTGGCTTCTTTCCCTGAGTGTAATGTTTGACAACTGGTTGCTTAAGAACTGAAATGTCAATAACAAGTGAATGAAAAGGCCCAGGACAGACATCGTGACATGTATCAGTGGCTTCTTCTTTGTTGTTGCTAAATAGTATTCTGTTGTATGGGTATACTACATTTCGTCTATCTATTTGTTAATTGAGGGACACAGATTGCTTCCTGTTTTTGGCTATTATGACTAATACTGATATGAATAATCATGTGCAAATTTTTGTGTAGATAAATATTTTCTTTTTTCTTGGGTAGATACCTAAGAATGGACTTGCTGGGCCTCATAGTAATTTATTTTAAAAATTATAAGAAATTATCAAACGATTTTCCAGTTGGCTGTATACTATTTAATGTTCCACTCACAGTGTGGGAGATTTCCTGATTCTCCACATTCTAGCCAACACCAGTCATTATCTGTATTTTTGTTATAATGGTATCTCATTGTGGTTTTAATTTACCCTACTGATTAACGACATTGAGAATCTTTTCATGTTCATTCATTTATTGTTTTTGGTGAAATCTCTATTCAAATCTTTTGGCCATATTTTGATTGGCTTGTTTTGTGGTTCAGTTGTAAGGGTTCTTTACAATGATGTATTCTAGTACATATACTTTATCAGATGTGTGTTTTGTGAATATTTTTTCTGTTTATGGCTTGTCTTTTCATTTTGCTAATGGTATATTTTGAAATGTAAGAGTTTTGAATTTTGAGGAAGTTTATTAAAAATCAATTTATTGAGAAAATTTATGGACCATAATTTTAGTATTGTATTAAGAAATCTTAACGTAACCTAAGCTCTCAAATATTTTCTCTTATATTACCTTCTAAGATGTATATTGATTTAGGTCTTTAATCTATGATCCGTTTTGTGTTCATTTTTGTGTATGATATGAGA